GGTGGTCTGGCTCTGCTCTATAGGGGGAGGAGAGTCCCTACACTTCCCACAGTGCTTGTGCACCTGCTTTGATCCCTTCAATTGGAGAGGGGGTACCTCTTGGAGTACCACCCGGGTTATACTAGTTAGCACACTCCAGCAGACTCAGTCGCGTCTGCTTCAACATATTTTAATTGGTGCATGTTGGAGCAGGCATTGGGCACATGTATAGGTGCCCTTGGATTTTACATAAGTTAACTCAAATGTACCTATTAGATTCAAAAGAAGTTAGGAACTGGTTTTCACAATGAAAGTCTCATTCCAAGCCCAAACCATACTCTAGCAGTTGCAGGCAAAAGTCCAGGGTAAAGAGAGATTTTGGGGCCAAATCTGCTTTATTACTGGTATCAATTTGCAATAGCTCCATGGCTTTGACTTGATAGCAGTTTAACTGAGAGAAAGGTGTCTTTTTGCCTTTTATATGATACTGAATTAGAGATGTGGAAACCATCTCTTCTCTGGACAGTCTGCATATTGAAAAGATTACATGAATGTAATGAATTAAAACCTATTCTTTAAGATGTCAGCAAAACTTTTCTGAGGTTGAGGCCAGGGAGAGCACCCAATATTAATAGGGCTCATGATAATCAAGGCATATAGCGGCTCACAAATCTTAGCTGCACAGAGAATAGGAAAAGATTTCTGACCTATGCCACACTAGATTCACCTCTTAACAGCAGAAAGCAAATCCTCCTTTTGTCCCAAGCTCCAAAGATTTCCCTCAGTCAATACTTGCCTAGAGCGTCTTTCTTGCAGACCACTGAAGCCAGCAAAGGACTGACTTCTAATGATCCCATTGGGGCCTCCAGGGGAGAATGATTGCGATCCTACTGACATGATTTCCGGGAGCCTGGAAGATATTCCTGTAAGATAATAGCAAAAGAAAGTCAGTGACAATGGTGAGTTACAGGCAGCAACTGAAAGGCATTCATCAGAAGTAATAAAAAGCAAAAGGAATCCCACAAGGTGATGTGAGTCATGGGATGATTAGATGTTTACAAGCCTAGCTCTCTATTTCAAGTCTGTTTAGATCAACTGCTCAGTTTTCTGAACAAGAACAAGAATGCCTGCAAAGCCATCCCTCTCCTGTTCTCATGGAAAATAGAAAAGATTGCTTAGCAGTTGATTTCTTCATACTACTAAACAATACCCTCAGGCCAGAAATCTTACCATTTGTACTTCTGGACATTTTTGCCTTGAATTCCAGGATTACATTATTAAAAAGCTCCAAAGCAACTCATTCAAAAATTAAATTGTAAGGGAGGGAAATGAGCTAATGAGAGAAGCATAGCCTAAATGTCATAGCACTAGATTAGAAAAGCCACAGTCTTCTGCTCCTAACTCTGATATAGATTTCTCCAGTGACTTTAAAGATATCTCCCTCCACCAGCTTTGCTCGTTTCTCCATCTGTAAAATGTGACTATAAGCTTACTGTCTCCCGGGGATGCCATAAGGCTTGATTAATGTATATACAAAGAGCTAAGTAATAAGTAGTGCTAACAGGAAAATGATGAAGGTTCGTTCAAATTCAAGGTCATAAACATGTTCTCTCATCTTTTTCACCTTCTAGGTATCTGCTACTTACTGCTGGGGAATGAGTTGGGGGAGACAGAAAAGAGGTTGTAGATGCATGTGCAGCAGTTTTTTGATGTGAATGGAAAGGGATGCTCTGTGCATTTATAAGGAAGGGCAAGTGAAGTCCAAGCAGCATACGATCCACATTTCATATATTTAAGGGGACTCCTCAGCAGTGATGAAAGAGACTTTCTGTGGCAGTTCTTCAAACCATCCCAGCTGTTTTCAGTGGAAGAAAGCTGAATATACCACTCAGAAGCCTAAGTTAAATGAGCTACAGATGGTTCAGTTCATTTTCCTAGTGAATAGTTACCCCCATAAAAAAAATATCATCGTAACTGGCAAACTCAGCAGACCTGCAAGCACTGAATGGACAAGGAGAACGATTAAACCAGTTTCTGACCCTTAGAGATGCCCAACAACATTAAAGCACAAGAGCAAGGTTCACCCGACATCGTTATCAGGCAGGTGATCTAGGGCCATTAATATGCGCTAAATGCATTTATTAAAAATAAACAATTCAGCTATGGAGTAGTTGTATCCTTAATGTACTTCAAGTGCACTGGGTGAAGTAAGCTAATTATATTTTTTAATTGTTACCTGCAGCTCTGTTCTAATTTGCAGTGTAGCTGTAAAATAGCTAAAAAGTCTTTAAAGAGGTTGTTAAATGTTGTAGCTTCTGGTGATGCTTCAGTTTCAGTGACAATTCTATTCAGTGAGAAGAGATGCTTTTAAAAATGTTTTTACAGTTCTGTCAAATATATTTCTATCCCCAAAATTGTTACCGCTATTGGTAGCCTGCAAACTTGTGTGCGATCCAACCACAGTAGCACTAACCTGTGTGCCTCAAGACTAAGTTCCCACACTTACAGACAACCCACAAGAGAAGCGAGCCTGGCTTTCTGTCATGTTGCCCTTGTGATTACCTCAGGGAGTGTCTTGGTTTAATTTCTGTCATAACTTCTAGGTAATTATGATCTGTTATAAAAAGGTTTAAGCAGCTCTGAATGAATCTTGTATGCCTTTTGTCTGAAAGGGAGAGCCAGAAGCCTTCTGCCTTACAATGGAAAAAATACCTTTTGTAATGCACAATATGTCCCCTTGATAGGCAAATATATATGAGGCATTATGCTCATTACAGTTCATCAGCCAAATTTCCAAATGTGTGCAAGGAATATGCAAGAACAAAAATTAATAGTGTTTAAGTGCAACATCCTAGGAATGCTAAACTTGCAATACTTTGTGCCAGCCCTTCTCTCAAACTGTAGTGCTTCTATGGATGCCTTCCGCTCAGCTGTTACATAGCTATAAAATCTTCATAAAATCTTTTATCAGCAACATTTCCTAAGGCCTGTGGCATGCTGCTATTAAGCTCAGATGTAAGTAATGGTAAGAATCAATTTTTGAAAAATATTATGCTGGCTTCAGTGTATTCCATGCATAGCTGTTGAGACTAGCATTACATCACAGCATCTGGGGCCAAAATCTTTTTAGGTTAGGACCCAATTCTTCAAGGCACTGAGAACCTCCTCTGCATTACTGTTTGTCAGCTTTGACTTGATGAGACACAGTATCTGGCAGCAGCTCCTCAGCACCATACAGGATAGAGCATTTATGTGTACCACTGCTTACAGTCTGGGTCAAACAGTTCAAATTCAACTGAAAAACAAATACTTAAAATAGGAACCATCAGATTCCAGAAAGTTTTCTCTATTTTCTCAAATGACTTTAAAATGTGTGTGTCATACTCCAATTTGCATTGTTTCAAAAACAGGCCCAGAATGCCAAGAAGAAAATCACGAATAATTGTTCAATGTTTGCCTAGTTGACATGATGATTAATGCATTCCCGGACAGTTTGTAGAGACGTTGTGAAGGTAAAACTAAACAACACTGACAGTCATATAAGGTTCATCTATAGTAGCATCAAATGTTCTGCAGGCAAATACATGGAATGCAAACAAACTTTAATCATGATGGCTTTGGCTGCATACGGTCAGTTGCTTCAAATTCCAAACTCCTTTCAATGGACCAAAACACTCCAAAATAATACTAAACCATATCTTCTCACATATTCCAGGGTGTGTATATAACACACACCTTATTTTTGAAAGGGAAAATGAAGAAAAGAAGATCTTTCCTTGCAGTAAGTAATTGAGTACCAGCAGCTAGGGAGCTGCTCCCCATTGATCCCAGCAGATTTTACTTTGGGTTTCACCCAGTAAGCAGCAGAAACTGCTCTTACTGTGTTTCTTGCATCTAATGCACACTCCAATTTCCAGCAGCTATTTTTGAGGAAAAAGGTTGTATGCAAGAAAATATAACATTCTAACACGTCCTTGTTAAACACATGAAGCAGTAAGATGCTTATAAAATCACACCTTATATTACATATGTATTTGTCTTAATCAAAACACTTTGCGTTTGCGTGTAAACTTGTATGCATTTAAAACATTCACTCACATGTAAATGTTTTCTGCTTTTATCAGTAAATGGGAAATTTAAAGAAAAATTGCTTTCAGAGAGTGTTTTTTTAAAAATGTTTTTGTTATAAATATTTTGATAAACTCTACTCCTAATGTTTTATGCTGCTTTATTAGCTACTCATAAAATCAACCTGAAGTGCAGAGCAAATGAAATGGATGGGTTTTTTTTATATTAAGACCTCTTTTGGTCTACTTCTGTTGTGTATTCTTTCCATTTGCATGAAATGGAAAGAATACCACTTACTGGGCTGGCAGTTAGAGAAAATGTTTTATTTCTGGATAGATAAAATTAGAAATGGAAGCAACTAAGAGCCAATGAACACAGAACACCACAATTCCATTAATTTAGTCAATTTTCAGGACGAATTTGCATTTTAAGATGAAACCTCTGTATCATCAGTCTGTACTAATATACACTGAGATAATATTTGACACCTCCTTTTTTATCATTTATGATGCTCCCATTTTTTTAAGGGTAGGAGGGGGGAATTCTTTTCTTCCTAGCGTCTGAGCTTCAAATGCAAGCCTTTGACTGACACTGTTAAATAGATAGGTTTTGTTCCTCTGATTAACTCCTTAGGTTGCAAAATCGAATTAGATTTCAGTGTTATACTTGCAGGGTTGTGTTTTTTTAATCTGATCAATGCTTCACATCTAAATGACGCCCAAAGCTCAAATACTGCCAAGACTGCCTATATACTCATACATAGTCCCTTAGCAGCCAATAGCAGCCGCTTAGCTTAGGTGTATTTAGTCAGTTGTTGTAGATAGGTTGCATATCGGTTGATTGCTTTGGATTTTTAGGATTAACAAGTATATATTGGATAATAAGCATTCATTACATAATTGTTTAAAAAACTCTCCCAAACTAATCTTTTCTAGACTGACTTATATACAGTAAATATGTTAAATCAGTCATTGATATTTGCTTAGCAGATAATAACTTTCTTTACTCAGGCTATCTCTAGACTTAATAAGACAGCCACTTGCTGACTACGTGGCAATCATGTAATAGCAAATTTTAAGGCATGTAAACAAAGAAGCATAAACCTGCAGCTTCTGATGGTCTTTGGATCTCCAGTGAGGGGAAGTTTTGTGTCTGCCTGGTATTTAAATTCCTGTAAGTTCAACGTTTAGGTTAGGTGATGGAAGGCCAGGAGCTTTCTGTTCCCATTTTAAGCCTATGAGAGTTTTGTCTCTTCAAAGGAACTAAAAGCATGTCCCAAAAAGTACAGTTCTGAATGGACAATGAAACCTCTAGAAACAGGGGGACTAATCAGGTAGAGAAAACATACAAGGACAATTAACCAGTAAATTCTCTCTTCATATTTGGTCAATTTAAACCACATTTGTGGTTATGGATAGCACTGGAACCTGCACACCCTCCTTAAAACAATTGCTATAAAGCCCAGCCCTCAGGTCTTTACTTGGACAAATCTATGGACTTATGTTGAATCCTGTAGGGACAAACATTTATCAGAAGCAGAAATGTAATTAGGCAGTTCTACACCCTAGGTGGCAGCAGCACATGGGACAGCAGCTGAGCCAGCTGCCAGCAGCAGATATTTTTGTGCCCCCCGGCCCAAATCACTGCCAGGGTTGGTGCTGTGGCTGTCCCTCTCCTTAATTATGCTGCTGATTGGAAGAAACCCTAAGGGGATTCAGTTTATTTTCTAACGTGATGTTTGAGTTCCTAATTCCACATTTTAATAGTTACCTGATATGATACTAATATAGTTTAGATACGAGATGCATTTCCTTGCCTTTATATACAGCATATTTTGACAGTAGAATTAATTCTA